AAAAGAAAGAAATTATAAATCCAGTGTTTTAAATCTTGCAGACCCCCAGGAGCAGCAAATTGTCTTATTATCAAGAAACCACTTTGAGTACAGTGAGGAAGCTTTAATTAGGAGTCAGAAGCCTGTCAGTGGAAAGGAAATGGGAAGTGAGGGGCTGGATATCCATCTTGCCAAATGGAGCAGGGAAAGAAAATACTGCATTGCGGATTTCTTTCCTTTATTTTCTCAAGTACGTTCCAGCCATTAAGATTAAGAGAACAATGGCTGAGAGGCTGGAAATAAATCCAAACCATCTGATAAATCTCTAGGAAAAGGAAATAACAACATTATTGAAAAGAGGAAAGACCTCCTTAGAGTTTCTGACATTAGTGTTTTAAAAATAAAATTGGGGTTTGCAAGCATAATGTAATTCTTACATAATTAATGCTATATATTGTACATGCAATACATGTTGTATTTCTTTTTATTTAAAGCTTTTTGCGAGGCCAGATGCAGTGTTGCACACCTGTAATCTCAGTAGTTAGAAGGTCAAAGCAGGAACATCAGAAGTTCAAGGCCAGCCTAGGTTGCTTAGAGAGTTAAAGATTACACAGTGGGAATTTAAGTCAAGAAAAAAAAATGTAAACTTTGTGTCAAATATTTTGTTGTTGTTTATCTGTATCAGTAGCATGTTTAAAGAACTAAACATTTTGGTTACATGGTTAAAAAGAGGTTGTCACTTTGAGTAATGACTCATCTGGTAGCCTGGTCTTCAGCTACAGCATAGACTGTCTCTGCTGTTGTGAAAGTGTAACAGATAAAAGGATCTCAAAGCCTGACTTTAAAATTTATTCTTCTTTCTCCTTTTCTCTTCCTCTTGTTTTCCAATATTTATTAGGAACTGTCTTGGTCACTTTTCTCCTGTTGCTGGAGCAAAATACTTGACACCCAAAATTAATGAGGGAAAGGTTTATTTAGCTCACAGTATATGGAGGTTTCAGTCCATACTCAGCTGGCTCTAAGGCAGCATGGCACAAGGCAGAGGGCAGCCATTCATGGCAGCGGAAAACAGCAACACAGCAAGAGCAAATGAGAGGAGTAGTGGCAACAACAGCAGCAGAGAGCAAGTCTGTTTCCCTTATGTTGCATTCAGGCTATGTTCCACCCCAGGCTGGGTGTAGCACTCACACCCATAATCCTATCAGCACTCACACCCATAATCCCATCAGCACTCACACCCATAATCCCAGCAGCACTCATACCCATAATCCCAGTGGATCATGAGTTAATCACAAACTCTAGAAGTTCACCCCATGACTACATGAGGCTTTGGGGGGACAACTAGACACAAACCATTACAGGAACACTAATTGGACACTGATATGATTTATCCCTATGAGGTGCTGAGAGCCAAGAAGAAGGGCGCATGAGGCAATCCTAAAATCCTGGGCTACTTACTAGCTGTCCCGCTGCAGACATATAGCAATGTGTTGGCCCTTAAAGAGGCAGAGGGCCTTCCTTGTCACCTGAGCCCCTATTGCCTGTGCCATAATCACGCTGCCTATTTCATGAGGCTGTGTAAGACTCAGAAGGGACAATTGTCTGTATTGTGAATTGTAAGTGCACTTGCAATCATAAGGAGTTTCAGGAAATAAGTTATTTGATAAAAGGGAATGTCTTGTGAATTTGATGTATAGAAATTAAAAAGAAAGTAACATGAATGAAGAACTCATTTGTTTCCTAATGTGAAATCCAGATCCCTTGACTCTTTGAAATTTCCCTTAGTTCCTTGTAAGAATAAATCTTTAGTAGTGTGTCCCCATGACCTCTTTTTCATACATTGTTGTGCAATTGTACATTTTTATCATCTTCACCTTTCTGTTGAGATTTGAAGGCAGGGCCCATTTTGCTATCTCCATGTTTCCGGGGGAAGTCATATCTAGCAGCACTTCCATGTGTATGTAACACATGTAAGGAGGAGTTTTCCAGTGGAATTTTTCCTACAAGGTTTTTTGTTTTGTGCTTTTTTACCAAATGAGAGGTATGATTTTTCTTTCATGTATTAAATAAAATATCAAGACATACATTAACAAGGAAGTCTGGGTGTTGTAGGCCTCAAATTAAGAACTCTGCTTGTGGCCTACCCTACCTAGAATCCAGAGGGAGGGAGGAGAGAGTGAGCGCAAAATAGTCATTCATAGAATGAAGATCTTAGAACTGATGGAAATCTTGTAAGTGATCTAGGTTGCTCATTGTAGAAAATGTTAGATATCTTTACCTCTTTCTTCACCATCAATGTTTTTCCATTTTAACTTCTCTGGGCTTTAAATTTTCTTGTCTGTAGAATAAAGGAATTATAACACTCATGTTAAATACCCTATTCTAGACTTCTGATATTCTATTTTGAGATTTCTGGTTGTTCTATTTGTTTACTTTTACTCATGTAGGTTTTATTTGTAAACAACTATATAAAATATGCTGAGTAATATGGAGATACTTTCCACATTCTGTGAAGTGAGCCAATTTTATTTTCCCCATGTTTTTATAACAGACAGCATTATCAAGAAAACATTAAAATAGGAGAAAGGTAAGACATTCAGGACATAGGATTTAAATTGAATGTAATGGATTCAAGAAGATGGGGGGAGGTGAGTGAGCAGATGGGAGGCCAGGGGGCTTCAGCCATGGGGATTGTGAGGATGAGAAATGGCTTGGCGCTGAGGAGCACTGACAAAGTACGATGTTGGGATAAGCGCAAAGGATGGCTTGGAGTGCCTTTGAGGGTTTGAGTGTAGTACTGTAGGCAAAAGAAGATCATTTTCAGACAGGAAGAGGCCAGAATTGTACCTGTTGAGTGTCACTGAAGACTTGGGAAGGGAATGAAACAAGCTAGGGTGAAGAGGAAATTGCTAAAGACACAACTGGCACAGGGCTTTATTAAGTGAGGAGAAAGATTGGACTGGATGCAAGTTATGAAGGGAGGAGGGATGATTTTGCCAAATAGTCGTATCAGTCAATGTGTTAAAAATTGGAAAGCAGGTTTACAGCTGGAGGCATATGACAGCTTGGCAAACCCTCTCCTCTCCCGAGTATTCCTTGTAGCTGATAAAAGATTTATCTCAGCTGTCCAGTGTGGCCTGCAAAAATGTTTATTAATGAATTTAAGGAAAGATTTCCTATCTTTGTTGAAAGCAGGTGTATATTTCAGTGGATGGCTGACTACAATGGGGGTTCATCAGTCCTTTTATGTTAACAGCAACTCTTGATCCCCACTCTTGAGGAAAAGGCATGTATACTTCTATCCAGAGGGATTTTTTTTCTATTAGATGTGTTCTTGCATGGATATATTTTTTATTCTGTATATTGGCTTTTTTTTTTCTTAGTGTTCTTTGAATTTAATACTTCATGAGTTTTAAATTCCAGGATCATCGTAGCATTATACCATGAAGGAACAGAAAGGACTGGCTTGACAGTGTTACTGACAATTTATACCAGGATGTAACTGTCTGGCATATTGGTCACTGTTTTGCATTCTTTTGCAAAGTATGCCTTTGTTTAGTCTTGAGGGTGGAGGCTTCTCTCATTTTCCATATACTCAGGACATGGCTAATGACCATTCTGCTTTGCGTGGAATGCTTTTGTTTGAATTTTCACATGGTTTACTCAATCACCTCTCCATTTCTTTTCCAAATTACTAGGTGTCTAATCTATAGGGAAGGACTGAGGCATTTCTCTCATGTAATTTCTAACAAAAATTACATGAAATAAGGCAGACAAATGTTCCTCCTTTCCAATTTATCTCATTTATTCTTTTTTGAACCCTATAATCTGCTTTTGTACCATATGTAGTATGTCATAGAAGGACTAATTAGATATTATCTTTTGAAGTCATAAAATCGTTTTCTAGCAATATGCCTTTGGAGCTAAAAGTCTTTTGTAAAATCCAAATGTAGTCTCTTTATAAGTTTCTACTGGATAATTTTAAATGCAGCCTATGCTTTCATTACCTAAAATAGAAAGCTTTTCATCCATCTTGGGAGTTGAATTGATGTGTCTGTACATGTCCCTAGGTGAATTTTAATAATATTAAATAGGTTGAAGTTTTCTGGGGAAAGTAATTGGTAGTCATAAAAGGCCAGTTTGAATTTATCTAGTTTAAAGGTTGATCTTTTAAAAAAGGAAAGTAAGTTTTGGGAACTGTAATACTTAGTCCTACCAAAAATACAGTGCATGCACATTTGTGTATTTATGTACGTACATATGTATGCATGTATATATGTAGCCAATTAATCCAATCTAATATCTGGGCTCATTCTCTTTAATTGATTGTGATGAAATCCTGGCTTTCCAAGGAAGATGGTACCCCATCTTGTTACCACCTGACGTAAGTGGTGTATGTAGTATATCAGGGTAGTATTAAAGATAGCCACATTCCTCAAGGTAATTTCAACACAAGGAAGCTCAAGAGAGTGGATGCAGTGACAGAACCATCCCAGCTGTGAGAAAAGAAGTTATAGGAACTGTATTTTGTACTCTCAATATCTTTGTATCCATGCTTCTCCAGATTTAGAAGGGAAGTGAGTCCTGACGTTTTCTCTTTTTGTTTTTCATTAAACTATTTTGAACTCAGACATTAGGGAAATCGCAGACAAATTTAACCTTAATAGTTGAAAAAATTGAATTAGACACAAAGACAAAGTTGGCGCTCATAGATATTTACTGACTTGTAAGAGAAGGAAGAACTGGAGTCTTGTGATTTTTTTTTTTTGTCTTAGGGTATTTTTGACTCTCTTTGGCATTTTCAAACGTTGAAAGTTCACTCTTTTAGGTGTGCATGACATACAGTAAATTTCATGTTTTGCTTTTACACGTGTAAATTGAGGAGAGTGTTTGACATTTTGCTGACTTTTTGTTATTAATCAATAAGCATGTGGTGCAGAGAGAAGATATTGGCCAATACAGTAATGTCTCTAATGCTGATGATTGCTGTTTATTGATCTACTTCATTCTTATCTTCGCAGAAATTGGCCCAGTGACAATCACTACAGATCCCAAGAAATTTCAGTATGAACTCAGAGAACTGTATGTTCAGGTGAGACTTGATTTCAATTTTCTGTTTGGGATAGGAAAACCATGCAATTTCCTTGTTCCTTTTAAAACCTGAAAAAAGTAATTGTTAGAGGCAAAATGCACAGCATTATCTTTTCCCAATGTGGTCATGGGTGAGTTGAACAACACTTACTGGAATAGAAGAGAACAGGTTCAAAATGATCACCCTGACTTTTGTATTTTTCCATGCTGCTTATACCTGATCGTGGCACATTCTATTCTGTGGTGCCTTTATGGAAAAATTTTGCTCAGCCCTGCTCTAGATAAGCCCTTCACTTGGAAAAATAAGGAAGGGTTAATAATTATTCCCCTACAGCATTAATGACACAACTAAGGTAATTTATAGCACTCTGTGTGAGATGGCATTTTTACTTGGAATCCTACTTTGGTATAGAGGAGAAGAAGACATTTGCTTAAGTGTTACTCTGAAAGCTGAACTTGGAAGCAGCGTTGGTACGCCTTCTCTTATGCTACTGTTCACACATTATTTCTGAATCCATTCATTTGAAAGTTTTCCTTTTCTGAGGCTGTTTCAGTGTACTGCCCTCCAAAGGTACTGCTGTTGTCATCTTCAGATTTTCAGCTGTTCCCTGTCATTCAGGTAGGCTGTTGGCAGTTGGACTGGAATTTCTTTGGAGTGACCTGGTCAGAGCAGAGATCCATCAGTTCCTTGGTCTACTAGTCATCTTTGGTGGCCTTTTCTTTGTTTTGATTTTCCACTCTCGCACACCCTGGCCTTGCCAACGTTTTAAGCTGCTCCACCTCTCCTGTAACTGATTTCTGCATCGTAACCTCAGCTGTGTGCTGAGCTTGTTGGTGCAACTCCTTGTACAACAATTTCTCCTGCACACTCACAGGAACCCCAGGCCATGTCCTCAAAACTTTCTTCAGGGTCATCAGGTCTGTCCTTTTGCTCACTTTCCTATAGTTTAATTTAGATATTTACCTTTTAAAAACTCTCTTTTATCTCCCTTAGGCACTGCCTAACCATTTAAAGGGCAAAACCTCAGTCCTGAATAACTTGAATTCCTGTATTATTTATGCTCACCCCAAGTGAACAAATGATGTCTCAAAGCTTTGACTGATTTCAGTATGAACTCATAACCACCTGTCTCAATGGATTTTTAATGCTCCGATGATCCTGTTCTATTTCTTTATCTTTTTTCTTCTTCTCTCTCTCTCTCTTTTTTTTTTTTTTTTTTTTTTTTTTTTTTTTTCGGAACC